ACCACGGTTCGCATCCCGGACCCGGTGGCTTGAAACTCACGCCGGGCGCATGTCCATGCGTGCCCAAGATCCCGAGAGGAGAATGGAGGAGAAGGGATTGCAGCGTGACCATCCCCCCTGGGGGGTGATTTCTCGCTTTCTGTCTCTATGTCTCTCTCTGTCTGTCTGGCGAGCGCACGCGCTCTATAGTAAAAACCTCTCAAAAAAAAAATTCCTCTTGATAGCTTGATAAAGTAAGCAGCCAAGGTGAGAAAACCCATTTGGAAAGAATCACAGGTGACCCCCTAGGACCTGAGGGTGGCCTCCAGCTGCTAGTCACCAAAGCCAGGTTCTCAGTCATACGGCCTCAAGTAAATGAACTCTGTTCAACCCGGATGAACTGGGAAGCAGATTCTTCCTTCCGGATGAAAACACAGCCTGGCTGACACTTGATCACAGTTTTGGAAAAGCCTTCACAGAAGACCCACTGAACTACACCTAGACTCTTGACTCACATTAACTGTGAAGCAATACAGGTGTTAGGGCCAGCCCTGTAGTGCAGTGGTTACGCACTGTGCATAGAAAGCCAACTCCTACGTGGCTGACTGTGGTTCAGATTTTGGCCTGGCCACTTGAAAAGCATGCCAGGCACGTGTGTATGTGTGTGTGCCCGAAATCCTGATGGGATAGAGAACTAGAGGAAGAAGGATTGTTGCTTGACCATGCTCCGTTGAGAAGTTTTCTCTCTCACACACACACTTTTTCTCTCTGTCTAGCAAATGCACATACCCTTTGGCAATTAGGGGGAAAAAAAGGATCTATGTGTGTTAGTTTAACCTGCTGAGTTTGCAGTAACTTGTCATTGTTGCATGGCATTAGAATACTAATAGCATGGGGTCAGCAGGTTGTGTGGTAGTTAATGTGCTGGGCTCCTACATGGCTCTCCTTGGTTTGAGTCCTGGGCCTGGTGGCTTGAAAATCACACCTGACATGTGTACGTGCATGCCCAAAATCCCAGGATAAGAACGGAGAAGGAATTGTAGCATGGCCATCCCTTCTGGGGAGGGGGAATTCTCATTTTGCCTGTCACTGTCTCCCTGTCTCTCTCTAGCAAGTGCACACACCTTATGGCAAACCCCCCCAATAATAATAATAATAATAATAATAATAACACAGCCTCTCTGAGGTGGGTAGATGTCATCATGAAAGAAGGTGAGTAGGCATGCTTATTCCATCTCCTAAACTCACCACTCGGATCGATGAGAGAGGCAGGCTGCTCATCCCATAGTGGTACCTCCACGAATGCAACCCCCCTTCACCCCTACCCCTGCCTCAGTAGAAGCAAGAGTGTACGGAGAGAGAGAAAACAGTTAGCAGGCCTCAACCACTGCCCAGTCAAGATGATTGTTTAACCAGTGAAGTGGCCAGGAACGGGAGAGGTAAATGGATCCAAGACACATTGGGAAGGTACAAATTGCCAGACATGCGGATTGCTGGGGTACAGAGGGTGAGAGAGAAGACACCACGAACTTGCAGGTTTCAGGCTTGAACAAACTAGGTATGATGACACCGTTTACCAAGAGGAAACTTTTGGAAAGAGCAGAAATCAAGTTTCCTCCTGGACCTGTTAAGTTTGAGTGTCTGTGAGCTGTCCGAGTAGAGATGCCAATTAGAGGGCTGAATGTGCCAATCTGGAGCTCAGAAGAGGAGTTGGGGCTGGAGATGTGAATGTGCGAGTTGTTATTTAAAGCCATGGGAAGAGAGAACCATCTAGGGAGGAAATGGCGACTCTCCCCCTCCCAGTCTCTTCCACACCCTCATCATTCCAAAATGCAAATCCGAAATCCAATCACGCTGCGCTGCTTTAAAATTATGCAATGGCAGTCAAAATGTATTTTCTTCTTTTAAGTTTCAATTTTACTAAAATTGTATTTAATCTGTAAAAGGAAAGCTATGTTAACACATTGTACATTGACCTAGTTTCACAGAAGAAATTACATAGCACTGATTATAAGCCAGTACAATATTTGGAAAGTTGAGGAGAAACAGAGAACACAAAGAAAATATAGGGAAGGCAAGCAAGTAATTAAATTATAGCGAATGTGTTACTTTTGAGATTACTTTTTTGGAGTAACTGAGATAATTTATATACCCAGCCAAAGATTTTAATTGCTTAAAAGGCCACTCGTAGTTGTGTGACCTTGTAAACTGCTTTGACCTTTCCTGTCTCCTTTAGCTTGTTCTGTAAGGTGCAGATAATGATGTTTGTACTACTTTCCTGGAAAGGTTGCCAAGAGGGCCAAATGAGATCATGGAAATGAAAACACAAGTTTACAGGAGGAGGTTATAAGCTCCTTAAGTTCAGGGTCTGACAGTATGCTCCTGCCCTCTTTGGCTGGCCAGCAGAGTGCCTGAGTTCATTAAAATGGAATATCATCACAAAGGGAAAAAAATCCTTCAAGGACTCCCTATTACCTTCAGAATTACTCTCAGTTGAGTTCCCCTGAGAAGAGAGTCTAAGATTAAGGCTTGTATGCAGATAGTTCTTTTTTTTTTTTTTTTTTTTTTTGAGAGATTTTCACTGTAGGGCACGTGCTCTCGCCAGACAGACAGAGAGAGACATAGAGACAGAAAGCGAGAAATCACCCCCCAGGGGGGATGGTCACGCCGCAATCCCTTCTCCTCCATTCTCCTCTCGGGATCTTGGGCACGCACGCACACGCGCCCGGCATGAGTTTTAAGCCACCGGGTCCGGGACACGAACCGCAGTCGACTACGTGGGAATCCAGCGACATAGCCATTACGCTAACTGCTGGTTCCCTGCAGATAGTTCTTGAGGCATTCAGAAAGCAGAAGCGAGGGAGGAAGCGTGATGGGACAGGAAGGGTGATAGGAAGGGACACCCCTATAAGATACAACAGGGGCTCAGTTCTGCAAAGACCCCTGAGATGCCTACCAAGTCACTTCTAGAATTGTCCACCTAAAGACAGGAGACTGGGGACCAGCAGTTAGCGTAATGGCTATGTCGCTGGACTCCCACGTAGTCGACCGTGGTTCGCGTC